TTGGATAGGAGTTTTCTGCATACTCTGTCTGGGTTAGTAGTTAGTAGTAGGCTTATGCACTGAAGACTTCATACTGAAGTTCATTCCATGTAACACAGAGGATTTTATTTACTGCTGTATTGTTTTTCCACTCTGGTGGAGTAAGGAAAAGGTACGACTAATACTCTCTGGGTTAGTAGTTAGTAGTAGGCTTATGCACTGAAGACTTCATACTGAAAATTTCATGTAACACAGAGGATTTTATTTACTGCTGTGTTGTTTTTCCACTCTGATGGAGTAAGAAAAAAGGTGTGACTAACCTTACATGACAGACCCTAGCCCTTACATTAACTATAACCAACTTTACATACTTTGTATACAACTTGGCTAAAGAGAAAGAAAGAAAGACAACATCTATTATACATATTATAAATATACATGTGTACAGTACAGTGAAATTCTTTGCTTTGAATATCCAAGCTTGGAAGGAGCTTGGGGCAGAGCACCAGGTCAGTCATGGTACAGTACTCCTGGAGCAGAGAAAGATAAAGGCTTTGCTCAAGGGCCCAACACTGGTAGCTTGGTGGTCCTGGGATTTGAATATATAACCTTCCAGTCAGTAGCTCAGAGCCTTAACCACTGAGCAACACTGTCCCTTCGCTTGTATGAAATCGTACAAATTATAATGATAGTGAGACTATGTTGGATTTCCATATGCAGAACCGGAGACACTACACTTATTAATATAAATGAGCTGTTTCTCTTTTTCTTTTCACTGTTTCCTCCTAGCATGAATGCCCAGCAAGTAGCCTGTTCTCTCTCATAGTCTCTCTGTGGCTGAGCACATATCTCTGAGTGAGCACTGCAGTGGAGCTGGCTGGCATCTGGCACAGTTGCATAGTATCCTGGGATTTGAGGCTTTTTGCCCAGTAAGATGGGCAGTATCTCACAGCCATCACTCACCTGCTGTTACTTTTATTTGTTTTGTTGTGTTGGACTTAAGTGGTGCACTTTTATGTGTCTGGCACCCCAGTGCAATTCCAGTTGTCTGAGTTTCACATATAACTTTTATTTCTGTGAACTTTTATTTATATATTTATATTTCTCCTAGCCAAAGCTGTTATAATTTCACCCATTACTGTGAAATGACAGCAATCATAATGCATAATGCATAGAGGGCCATACTAGTTCTAAGGATTTAGACAATTAGCAAAGTTTACTAGGAATATACATTTAAATAAAATACATGGTGCCCTAACAGTTAATAAAATGAGCTAATGGTGAGCAAATAATGTATTCAAATTCATTCTACGCCAGTAAAAAACACATTTTGTTAGCTGTAAATAAATATATTTATAAAAAACTAAATTTGATCCTTTTTAATTAAAAAAAAAAAATGGTGTCATGGTGTGTGAACAATTTCTTTTCAAAACGTATCTCTCCATTGGTATATGGTACCCTTTGATTTTTTTAAAAATGTTTTCGGGGTTATATGAGGCCCTTATTGGTTTTTCTTCACCTTGAGGCTGCTGCTATGGCTGGCCTTGGTTTTAAAAGAAAGCAACCACGTACTCTCATTCAAGATAAACAACAGAGTGTGGTGTGAAGGATGACGGAAATGATTCATTAGTCATTCATATTCACATTCAGCCTAGTGTTTTCTAACTACTTACAGGTTTAAATTCTTCCTTCTTTATCTTGCAAGTTGTGAGGGAAGCAAGAAAAACAAACATGGAGGACAGTGCCAGTGAAAAAAATGCTGCATTTGACTTACCTCTTAAGTGGCAATTTAAAGTCGGAATGACATCATTTTCTCATTCCACATACAAAGTGGTGTAAAAAACATGGACGTTCATCTTTTGTTAGCAACAAGCTAGCCAGCTAGCTGTGATAAGCAATGTACATTTTCCTCCTCAAACAGTGACCTATATATGACACTGTTACAAATATAATAAGCAATCCAGCTTTAACAGTGCTGTGCCTGCTGTGTCCGCACTTAAGTTTCATTAAAGTAGAATATAAAGAAGGTGCCTGTATGTACAGTATGTCCATTTTCGCTCAAAAAGATCAGAGTCAACTCATTTATGAATCACTATAGGACATAATAATGAGCAGAAATATATTAGTTTTAAAGAAACCCAATATAAATATGAACAAGAAATAGGTATTCATAAGCATAAACAAAGATAGGATACATTGGCAAGGGGAAAAAACATTTTATAAACTATTCAGACACTATATTAAAAATCTATGTATAAAGGTTACATAAAAATAAATCATGTTCTAGATGTAAATGCTGCAAAAATATTCTTGGACAAATTGCACCAGGAGTCATTATATAAAAGATGTTGCCATTAGTTGGGAAGATTTCACATAACATGTAGCAATCATGGCAAAGGTTAATGAGCTTCCTAAAGTTCTCAGGAGCAACATTATTAAACAAAACTCGAAAGGAAAAAGCTACAGAGCCATAGCAAAGACCTTAAACATCCCTGTCAGTACATCTGGTTTGATAATATACAGGTGCAAAGCTCATGGGACCAGAAATAATCGTCCCCTGAGAGGTGCGCTATCAAGGTTTTATAACGCACTG